GCGAGGCCGACCTTCAATGCGCGACCACCCGGGCCTGTAGTCAGGCGGCTATCACCCGAGGAAGTCAAGCGTCGACGAGAGAAGGGCCTATGTTTCAAATATGAGGAGAAATTTACACCAGGTCATCAGTGTAAACAAGCTTTTGTGATTGAAGTTGCTAATACTGATGAGGAAGGATCTGAGGTCGAGGAGGAACCACATCAGGAGGATGAGGTTGAGGTGCCAGACGAAGAAGCATAAATCTTGATTCACGCAATGGCCGGGATTAGAGGGCCTCGAACGATGCGATTGCCAGCCTGAGTCAAGGATCGTAGGGTGATGGTGCCCGTAGACAACGGGTCATCACACAACTTCATCAATACTGACTTGTCCCAGAAGCTGAACTTACCAACCACGAAGATTGAGCCTTTTGAGGTACGAGTAGCTAATGGAGAGAGGCTGCAATGCACTGAATCTTTTCGCAAGTTACCAATCAAGTTCAACATAGTTACTGTAAAGGCTGACCTCTACGCCTTACCCTTGGTTGGGCCGGATGTCGTTCTAGGAGTGCAGCGGCTCAAAGGCTTAGGCAAGGTGACTACCGACTATCGAACGGGAATTATGGAGTTCAACTCTGGAGGTCGACTAGTCACTCTGAGTGCTGGCAACGAAAAAGTTACCAAGGAAGTAGGGCTGAAAAGCATCGAAAGAGTTTGGCGAGGTGGCGGCCAAATCTTTGCAGTAGTAGTCGAGAACACTGAGGCACACATAGACAAGGACGAGCAACAACAAGGAGATGTGCACGATCTTCTCGAGGAGTTTGAGGGAGTACTGGGCGAACCTAAGGGACTACCACCACACCGAGAGTTCGATCATCGCATACCGTTGATCTATGAGCAGCATGGCATACACGTCCACCCTTATAGGTACGCTCACTTTTAGAAAACCGAGATCGAACGGTAAGTGGCCGAGATGCTAGAGTCAGGATTAATCAAGCATAGCAAGAGTCCGTTTTCTTCTCCAGTACTGCTAGCTAAAAAAAAAGATGGCACGTGGAGGTTTTGTACTGACTACCGAGCTCTGAATGTCGCGACTATCAAGGAACGATTTTCTATTCCTAGTGTCGACGACATGCTCGACGAGTTAGCTGGATCACGCTATTTCTCAAAGCTCGACCTGAGAGCTGGTTATCATCAGATTCGACTCCGCAAGGCCGACATTCCAAAGACAGCATTTCGAACGCACCAGGGGCACTATGAGTATTTGGTTATGCCATTCGGACTGTGCAACGCCCCATCCACTTTCCAGTTTGCTATGAATTCCATCTTCAAGGAGTATCTGCGTAAGTTCGTTCTTGTATTCTTTGATGATATCCTGATTTATTCAAAGTCGTGGGTTGAACATCTTGAGCACTTGAGAGTGGTGCTCGAAATCTTGGAGGCCAACTCATTTCACATCAAGCCATCCAAGTGTTCATTCGGGCAGAAGATGGTTGAGTATCTAGGGCATTTCATATCCCACAAGGGCGTGAAGGTTGACCCACGAAAGATTGAGGCTATGGTCGACTGGCATAAGCCGACAAGTCTCACACAGCTGAGAGGATTTCTAGGACTTACGGGTTACTACAGGAAGTTCGTGAAGGATTATGGAACCATCGCAAAGCCACTGACGGAGATGACTAAGAAAGGCGGGTTCACATGGACCGAAGCTAGTGAGGAGGCGTTTGGGAAACTAAAGATCGCCATGACTACAACGCCAGTGCTCGCCATGCCAAGGTTTGATGTCTTGTTCGAGGTACACACAGATGCAAGTGACATTGGTATTGGGGCTGTGCTAGTGCAAGAGGGACGACCCTTAGCGTATCTCAGCAAGGCCTTAGGCACTACTCGATTGGGTCTATCTGTGTACCTGAAGGAGATGCTTGCAGTTGTTGAGGCTGTAAGATGCTGGAGGCCTTACCTGTTAGGGCGACGATTTCGGATTGTGACCGACCAGCAGTCGCTCAAGCATCTACTCGAGCAAAGGATTGTTACCCCCAAGCAGCAGAAGTTCGTTTCCAAACTTATGGGGTTTGACTTTGAGATAGTCTACCGGCCAGGCCGACAGAATGCAGTAGCTGACGCATTATCCAGACGGACTAATGTAGCTGAGCTTAATGCTATCACTGGACCGGCCTGGACTATTTGGGAGGAAGTCAGGAAGGCGCAAGAGGAGGACACCTATTGCCAGGATTTGCGCCAAACGATCGAAGCAGGCAAGACGACTGCTATTGACTATGAGTTGCACAATGGTCTGCTTCTACACCGAGGCCGAGTATTCGTTCCCGACAGTGGACAGTTACGCGAGCAGATCATGCAGCACTTCACGATTCTAAGATTGGAGGCCAGTCAGGTATCTACCACACATGGATGAGAATAGCCAATACCTTCTTTTAGCCTGGACAGCAGAATACGGTTCGTGACTACATCGCACGGTGCGACGATTGTTAACGCACTAAGGCTGAATCACGACGGCCGAGCGGGCTGTTACAACCTCTACCGGTACCCGAGGCAATCTAGGAAGACATTACTATGGATTTCATAGAGGGGTTACCGAGTTCTAATGGATTCAACGGTGTTATGGTCGTGGTGGATCGTCTCACAAAGTATGCTCACTTCATATCCATCACTCATCCTTACACGGCCAAGTCGATTGCCAGATTATTTGTGGAGTACGTGATGAAACTACATGGAGCACCACGATCTATCGTTTCTGATCTAGACCGGATTTTTATGAGCAGCTTTTGGTCTGAATTCTTCAAATTGCAAGTGACCAAGCTATCTATGAGCTCAGCCTATCACCCACAGACAGACGGACAAACTGAGGTAACCAACCGAACTCTTGAGCAGTACTTAAGGTGCTATGTCCACCAATTTCCAAAGAGATGGGAAAACTTTCTACCTTGGGCTGAGTATTGGTACAACACCACTTATCACGGGTCGACCAAGATGACGTCGTTTGAGCTAGTATACAGACGTAAACCCCTAACGTTGATCAACTATTCGGAGGGAAGTACGATCAACGACGAGGTTGGTCGAGAACTAGAGGAGCGAGATTTGATGTTGCGAGAATTAAAGAAAAATCTCGAAGGTTCCATTAATTGCACCAAAGCCTTCGCTGATGGTAAGAGGCGTGAAGGGAGCTTTACACCCGGAGAGTATGTTTATCTAAAGCTACGACCATTCAGACAGCGCACAATAGCACACAGGGCAACGACTAAGCTTGGAGTTCACTATTATGGACCTTATCAGATTCTGAAGCGCATTGGTCAGGTAGCTTATCGTCTAGAACTGCCAGAAAGTTCACAGATCCACCCGGTTATTCGTGTCTCACAACTCAAGAGAAGTCTAGGAGAAGCCCAAAAGCATTGTGAGGAATTGCCTGCTACCGCAACCGATGGAAGGATCATCGTACGCCCAAAACGAGCGGTTGAGTATCGCAAGGTAAGGAAAGCTGGACGCTATCATTGGGAATTACTAGTCGATTGGGAGGAGTTGCCAACTGAAGAAGCCACGTGGGAAGATCTTGATGAGATGCACGATCAATTCCCGAATTTCATCCTTGAGGACAAGGAATCACTTGAAGGGGACGAGAATGATGCGGAAGTGGCTAGGCAGCTCAAGAATGCCGCGAGTCGAGCTTACCATGCACGCAAGAGGATAGCACGGGAGACAGTAGAAATACGCGCACTCGAGCATAGTGCGCGCGAGGCGAGCGAAAATGGCCGGACGATGGACGGGGGCGCACGTGTGTACGCGGAGCGCGGATCCTTATGCCTCGAGGAACGCGGACAGGCGGGGCGCGACACACGCGAGAAGGCGGTTGGCAGTGATGCCGTGCGCAACACGTCAGATGAAGGCTCACGCGCAAGATGCGAGGCCTCAATCCTAGAAGAGTGCGGAGAGAAGGACGACCACGCGCACAAGGTCGGCGCAGGGGGAGATGGCGTGCGCCGTACGCCGGTGATGACGGATCGTGTCTTTACTCTATTCCGGGTTGTGAATAAACGTGCACTAGGGCCTTCGTTTA